TGTAATGTGTATATATATATATATATATATATATATATATATATATATATATATATATATATGTGTGTGTGTGTAGTGTGTGTGTGTGTGTATTTTTGTGTTTATAAACAAATAAGTACGTAATTAATAATCCAAATATACAAATAAAATAACACAATAAAAAAAATCTATTATAATCTATTATAATTTTTATATATTATATTGTAATATTAATATTTATATTTAATATTTAAAATATATTATAATATTCATATAAAAATTTAATATATTGCTCATCCTCATACCCTCGTGTTTATTGTTTGTGTCTTTGTGTGAAAAGAGGAGATTTTAATATTGTAGGTGACAGAAAGTGGGGAGCTTGACTGCGTCTAAGGCAATAAATATAACAACATCCCAAAGCACTTCATCCATTTACCAGATCAATGCCTGCAATCTAACATGAAGCATCTCTTGTTATTGTCTTTAATGTCTGGTTATTAAGGAAATTATCTTTAAGTGTTTAAAGAATGGCTAATATGAAAAAGAATAAGTAACTTCAGGAACTGAAACATAATCATCTTAAACTATTGTCCTATTGTTCAAACGCCACTAAAGTGAATAAAGTATGAAAGCCTGCATTTTAAAAATCCATATCAAATGAATTATTGTGCCATCCACGACAATTCATAATTGTTTTTGATAAAAGAAGCTGTCATTGAATGCAATTTAAATAACAGCTCAAGTAATATGATTTGTCATAAACTGATTTTATAAAAGGAAAGAAGGGAGTCAATGAAAAAACAAAAAATAAAAGCAAGTTATATTTTTTCTTTCCTTTGGCAAGAATTTGATAAAACCATCAATGTCTAGCTGTGGGTTTGACAGCTCGAAGGACACTTCTACTCTCAACTTCGTATGAAGTGTCATACTCATTTTTTTGTGTCCCACTAATTTGGTGAGAATATGCATATCAATTACCCATCACGGCTAACGCTACATATGTTTGTAAGGTGCAAAGGTCATCTGTGAAATGCTAATAAGGGGGGAAAAGACAAAAAAAAACACAAAAAAAAAAAACATTTTAGCAGTTACAAATGATCTCACGGCTCTTTCACAAGGTGCCTGTGGATACACTTACTTGGAGTATGTGTTGACATGTGGCATATTCGATAAATATAGCAGGATAATTAAATGCGGTAATTATTCAAAGGAACTTATTGTGGGGTCTGCTTTTAAAAGCAGCTGTTTAGGTGATAAAATTGTAAAATGGAAAATATCCACTTTAGAGTATATGAATATAATATAATGTAATGTAATGTAATGTAATATAATATTTATATACGTACACACACAATAAACAAAAACACTGAAAAAATAAATTACACATACATTACATATACACAAATATTTTTATTTAAATTGTTATTAAATTATATGTAATTAAAATTGTTTTAATATTTTTAAATATTACTTATTTAGAAATATTTTAAAAAGTATTTAAATAACATATGCATACACACACATATATACACAAACTTATTTATATAAACATAAAAAATCTAAACTCATACAAATATATGTATATGTGTGTGTGTGTGTGAAACTATATTTAAAATACTTTTGCAGTCCTGTTCTCTGGCAGACCCTGTGATAATACCAAGCCAGGGAGCTAGACAGAGAATAATTCATCACCCAGGTCGACGCGATTGGCGTGCCATCAGATTTGGGCTCGTTCCTCCGTCTCTCCTCCGCTACGCAGTTGGGAAAAAGAATACCGTGTCCAAAAAAGAAAACACACACATACACACACACCCAACACTTCAGAGCGTGCCACCTCCGATTCAGTGAGCGCAGAAGCCGAGTATGGCATGTTTACAAACACACCCGACCTCTTCAAATACCCTCCAAACTAAACACACACTGGTGGTGCGGAGGAAAAAAAAACACACTGAGATAACGTTTACCAAGAGCCCTTTGCTTCCATCTGTTCGCTCTTCCTGCAGGCTGGCAGTCTTCGGGAGGATGAGAGCAGGGAAAGGTGCAGGCGAGCCACGGGAAAACTAAACAGCAAAATAACTGCTATCCAAGAACTGCATTTTGTGATGCAATGCTGTGTCACGATTGCTCACAGAGGATGCAGTCAAATCCAGGAGGATAGGACATGAAAATATGTTAAAAATAAAAAGTAGAGTTTGTTCAGCGAGTTTTATCAGAGTCAACAATTTACGATCAATTTAACATCTAA